GATAAGAAATAAGATGGTAATGTTAACACCTGAGGCGCGATGAAAAAATGTATATTATTGTCTATCATTATAAAGTGTTTGAAATTTTAAGTGAAGATTAAATACCAAGATATAATGCTCTGGCCTCCACGTGGTGCATCCTGGACAGCGTATATTCACACGGCAAAAAGTCAATAACTCGGTAGTTGACTTCAAATTATTATGATCAGCCTGAAACTAAGCTATTAGGGAAATCGCCCTTGTCAGGGCGAATCACAAATTCTACAGATCCTTCAGTGGAATGCTGGAGGGATGTCACAGGACAAGAGGATCCAAATCCAGAAAATCCTACATACCTATGACAAAGACATATTCACAATCATGGAAGCAAACCTTACGGATGACAAACTCAAATAGTATCAATTTCCGGGTTACATCTTTTACCTTCTACCTAAATACCGGCAAATTACAAGTGGAATTCTGACTGGAGTAAAAGAAGGCCTCACCTCACACTACGATCTAATCAAGAGTATGGGCTCGACGCAAAACACATGCGAAATAAACAGATTATATGATTGGAAATGGCTAAAACATTTCAAGATATACGCAGTCTATGACCCACCCCAAAATAGTCCCAACTCTGATTTTCTGAACATCTCACACAGAACTGTAGTATTAGGAGACTTCAACGCTCATTCCACCAGATGGAGCAATAAGAATACGAACATAGCTGGAAAAGAAATCGAAGACATGTTAAACAGCAACCCTCTAGAACTTATTTATAGCAATGAGGATTTTGCTACATATCTGCACTACAATGGAACCAGAACAACTCCTGGTTCGCTCCTGGCTTCAAGCGACATCAACGAGCATGCAAGCGACATCAGTGAGCACACACACCGCAAAATAATTGATGATCCTGGTTTTCTGGTCACAAACCAGTCATTGCTAGTATTACCATCGGTTGCAAAAGCATGAGCTGGTCTCACAAACCAGTCATTGCTAGTATTACCATCGGCACCAAACGCCTGACACCGAAAATGCCAACTAAGTTATCATGGAACTTCAAGAAGGCCGACTGGCATAGATTCAAAAACCTTTTAGGGAACGAACTTCACGTATGTCCCCTCGACTTCAACAACATCCTGACAAACTTTGCACTGCTATCACGAATATTATGATCAGATGTGCAAAGAAAATTATTCCCCGTGGCAAGACTAAATACTATCGAGTGTTCTGGTCTGAACACTTTGAGGAAATGAAAAGAAAGCGGGACGCCCTTCACAATACTGCTAAACAAACTGGAAGAATGGAAGAAGTAAAAGCCTGGAGACGACAGTCAGCTGTCCTAAGACAAGTCATCTTACAAGCTAAACGGGCTTCCTTCAACGAATTCATATCAAATATCAACTATCAAAGTGATGGCCAATACACTTTCAAATTCCTGGGTAACCTCCAAAACAGTAAGAAAAGAACCCAGAAAAAACGATACGCTTAAAAAACAAACTGTTTACCACCGACTCCGCAATATGCTTAAACAGCAAATTGCTTACCACCGACTCCAAAGCGCTTAAACAGCAAATTGCTTACCACCGACAACGAAACAGTCTACAAATTGCTTACCGCCGACACCGAAATAGCTAACTACATTAGGTTCTATTCCCACAAGCAAAAGAAAAACCCTTTTGTCAGTGCGACACCGAAATAGCTAACTGCTTTGCGAGGTTCTATTCGCACAAGCAGAAAAACACTTTTGTCAGAAAATCTTCAAGAGATTTAAAGATACTTTGTCAGAAAATCTTCAAGAGATTTAAAACTACAAGTAAGAATCAAGAGATTTAAAGATACAAGTAAGACAGTTTTGTGAAACTAAGAAAGACACAGCAATAACAAATAATGTACTTACAGAACCAATCAGACCATCAACACCAAATAATGTACTTACTGAACCCTTCAGACCTTGCAAACTAAATGCTGCGATAAAACAGCTCAAGTGCAAGAAGTCTCCTGGCGTCTGCGATAAAACAGCTAAAGTGCAAGAAGTCTCCTGGCGACGAGCTCAAGTGCAAGAAGTCTCCTGGCGAAGACGGTATTCATCCAGAATTTCTAATTAGAATGGGACCAAAAGCCAAGGAAAGCATGCTGACACTTTTCAACAAAATCTGGGAGACTAGTCTCGTAACTCCCCAATGGAGAGTTGCTTTGGTAATACCAATACTCAAAAAAGGCAAAGACCTTAGCAACTTTGACAACTATAGGCTTATCCTCCTCACAAGCATGTTGGCTAAACCTATGGAAAGAATGGTTAACAGGAGGCTGACCTGGTTCCTTGAGGCCAACAATATTCTTAGAAACGAAAATGCAGGTTCTAGGCCACAAAGATCAACGAACCAACAAGTAGTCACTTTCTCCCAAAACATCAAAGATGCCCTTGATGCAAGAAATACCCCTACAGCTGTTTACGTCGATTTCAAATCAGCATATGACTTAGTATGGAAAGAGAAACTAATTCAAAAATTGGCAAAGATTGGTATAAAGTATAACATGCTAAACTGAATAAAAGCATTCATCGGAAAAAGATCATGAAAAGTCAGACGTGGAACACTATGTCCAAATCAAATCCTTTACAAACAGGGAGCTGTCACAAGCTTCACTCTTTTCAACGTCTTCATCAATGATATCGCTGAACTAGTATAGACAGTCACGGGCAACAATTGCATATTTCATGCAGATAATCTTGTTATATGGTATTCCGCCCCTAAGAAAAACGTTCAGGAGAGGACGGAAAGTGGCCTAAATTATGCAGTTAAACTTTTAGCAAACTGGTGTGACAACAATGGAACGGCAATCAACACCGCAAAAACCGCATTCCAAACATTTTCATTGGCCTGCCACAGCATAAACCCGCTTTTAAGGGACAAGGAAAAAACGAGTTCACTTATCTCAGAATGACGTTTAACACAAAGCTAACATGGAAAAGCCACATTGCTAAAGTAGCAGAACGAGTCTCCAATAGACTGAATCTACTGAAGCGAGTCGATGGTAGTATATGGAGTTGTGCACGATCAACCCTAAAAACTAATTACAAGTGATTTTCGAACCACTCGAGAAGGCACACAACCAGGCATTACGTCTAATTACTGTGGGAATAAAATCAACACCCATTGATGCAAGGCTCCTGGTTACAGGGAGAACCACAATATGCTCCCTTACTAAAGAGAAGGCCTTGGTCCTGCATGAGAAGCTGATGAGCATTCCCATGGATAAATTCTTCAGCACGTATGAGAATAACCCAAGACACCTAAAAATGCAATCTGGTCTAATACAGAAAGCCATAGAACTGAAGGAAGCATTAAAATTGGTGACAAACCAAATAGTTTCTCTCTACCCCGAAACCCATTAGCAGACACTGATGTACAATGTTGCACCCAACTGCTTGACCATTTCAGAAACGCAGATCTCCCTTCAAATCAAATGTACTTATAATCAATGTAAACTATCCTGCAGATCAATGGCTCCAAGTCATCACTGACGTGTCATACGTAGAAAGTCAATTAAACTTTGATGCAGGTGTTTACTCTGAACTATTCTCTTTTTACGCAGCAGCGGGACACAATGGATTCGCATTCGAAGGAGAAATAGAGACCATTAAGATAGCACTAGGCCAATTGTGTAGCCTGGATACGAACTTCGTCAAAGCAGTAATTCTTTCGCAGCAATAGACTCTATTGGAAACAGAGAGACACCCAAAAGCTCAATAAACTCAATTGGAAACAGAGAGCCACCCAAAACAGCCAAGATATACGAATGCCGAGATAAAAAAAACTGTGGTTCTACAATGGATCCCTGGACACTGTGGCATTAAAGGCAATGAGCGTGCTGACGCACTTGCTAAGAAGGGAACTACAATTTTGCAAGGCATAGACCGACCGATGTCTTTCCACACAATGAAGAACTTAATCAAGAGAGAATTCAAGACCTCAAGGTGCAACGAACTTAAAGCTCGAACAAAGGAGAAACAGTGGACAGTGGCACTCTCCGATATAGGCGACTGGCCAAGAATCGAAGCCGTTGCTGAGTTTAGACTACGTACCGGACACGATTGCCTGGCAGAGCACCTTCATAGATTGGGAGTATTCACTCAACCAACATGCCCCCTATGTGACCTACAGGAGGAAATGGAGAAGATCCACCTGATTCGGTGTCCAACCCTATAGACAACGATGGAAACTCAGAGATACTGGGAAGCCAGAAGACAACAACGAACCGCGAGTATTTGACTGCTATATATGTTTCCCCCCCCCCTTGTGAAAGCCGAAGTCAACTTAGGGACTAATGATAAATTGCATAAAGCCTGCCATTTGAAGAAGTAATGATAATAATAATGCTCTGGCAAACACACGAATACAGCATTGTTAAACCATAGCGTCACACTATATTGTATCAATACTTAATTTATCTGAGTAGGACGTATTTTGCAGGAACTATTTAGGGCTTTCATTTCTAACCTCCTGGTGAGGGTAAAGGTCTTTCACGGCTCCTTGCTCTAACCAAGTGCCCACGTAGAATATGCGAAGGAGAGGGCGAAGTTGCGGAGAGATATTTCCCAGACTGGGAGGAAAAGTAAGAAGCGGGGGGAGGTGGCAAAGGAGGCCTTGCCGGTGCCCTTTTCCCAGACACTGGGCTTCCTGGAGTGCTCGGAGACCCCTCACGCACTTCCCTCGGCGTCAATCCAGAACTTGGGGAATGTCCTGATGTGTGCTGGTCCTGAGTCGTGCTTACCCCACGACCTCCTGCACTGGATGACAATGGAGCCGCTGAACTTACGAACGATTTCTTGTGCGGACGCCAAACCATGTTGAGTTTGAGAGTGAACTAAAGAACAATAGGTAAGCAAAATTAGAGCCGTTTTCAGCCCTCAGCTGAACATAAACCAATTTTTTGTTTCCGACTACTCTGATTATCCGAAATTTTAACACTGTACAAAACTGGAATAGAAAATAAATTCATTGACCATAGAAAGGGAATGCGCAATTTACTCTTGAAAATCGTTTTGGGTTCATTGATAATGGCTATCTCATTGAAACGTGCCAAGATAACTCTCGTTTTTACCTGCACAGAGGCATATGATTCAAAATAAGACAGTAGAGAAGCCAATTCTGTTGGAAATTAAAGTTTTGCTGAAGATAATTTTATACTTTTAGTACATGCGTCGCCTGTACGAGTTTTAGAGAAATGGGGATTAGATATTGTAGGACACCAAGGACCAGGAAGCGAGCTAGGGTAACAACCTGGCCAGCCAGTACAAAAGCACATTTCAACGCGCATGCTATCTTGACTTACAAGAACAATATACTATTGTACAATTGCTGATTCAATGTCATCTTTACTCGTATGCACCTTTATATCAGTTCATTCAATCTTGTCTTGCCAATAAGATTTTCTATTAGAAAAAAAAGTAATTTTTGATTGTAATCGAATCAAGCCAATATGAAGTTAAGCCGATAATTGTCAAGGTTTTAGCAGATTCAAGAATCCAGGACGATGGTAAATCAACCGATATGATCCGTTAGTCTTGATAGAATGTAGAATTCCAACTTTCTCGATGCTGGTAATGAAACAAGGACACCGAAGTCTACAGACTTTTCAACCAAAGACTTTGTACTATTTTTTGTATTTTTCAATAGGATATTGAATTAAACTACCAATAGCTTCTTGATATCATATGTCTATTTTTTATTCACTTCGTTCAGAAAAGCAATATATAAATTGAGTCGTCAAGTTTTTCGGTGAAATGATTTTCCATGAACAGCTGTTTGCATAAGCCAAATTTATCAAATCAAATTTGCAAACCTTGCGTTCCCGGTAGGATACATTTTTGATGATATTCCAAGGAAATGTGTATCGGGCTCGTTCGACGTGGTTTGTCGTGAAGAGTTGAATTCCTGCAGCAGTGATTCCGACCCACGAAAGCTCCTGATTTCGATCCTGAAAGGAAGAAAAAAAGTGAATTCTTTTCTAGATTAAGACTCATCCACACTGCTGCAGTTCTTGGAGGTAGTGTTCTCCCGGTATGAGCTACGTGCTTACTGAATATCATCTAATAGAGAAAAGAGTAGTTACTCCCCAGCACTTTGTTAACTTAGTATAGATTGCCTCATGTGGACCCAAGTAGACATCACGCCGTTGGTTATAATGACAAGGAATGATTTGCACTTCAAAAAATGTCAAGCTCTCAGGCGTAGTGTGGACCCCGCTTAGTGGCCAAGTTGATATGTTACTCCGAGAAAAGGTAGACGAATTGGTTATTCCGAGGCTGAATATAAATTTATTTAACATCTTATCAATAACAAAACCTATGCTAAAACGTTATAGCGAATATCATCAGTTAGAAAGGGAACATTTATCGAGTATTCACTCAACTAGAGCATACTATAGAGATAAGCATGAATCCGCGAATTATAATTTTTAACTCTGATGTGCATAACCTATGGAATACGGATTTGTGGTCTAAATTTTCTCCATTCATCCATCATCTACGACTTCTAATGGAATATATCACAGATTATATGCATTGAGGTGGTCTAGAACTCTAAACTACCTCCCTTTTCATAGATACTAAGTACTCATTATTAATAAGGAACGCCGACTATAGCAGCACCTACTAAAAGCACATTTTTACGCGTTTTCACTAAGCAATTAAACCGAATCTTGAAGGTCAATTAGACAGAAGGAAACAAAATTCCAACTCTGACGTGATTCATTCTAACTTTTGCTGGTTGTTATGATTTGTTGTTCGAATGGAAGCATGCTCAAATAGACATTTTTCTTAAGTAAACAAACTCTCACAGATTTGTTGGAAATTTCATACGATTAAACTGAACCAGGACATAGGTTATTAGTACAAAAAATGCTTATAATAGGAAGTAGCTAAAAGAAGCGAACAAAGAGAAGATACAAAATCAATTCGGAAATTAAGTGCACGACATTGGGAATAATTTTATCTTAATGGCCGGCTCTATCCAATCAGACTGCGGTGCACAAAAATTCCGCACTGGTCTCTCAGGGGAGACGTTTAAATCATCCCATTGAATGGAATGTGGCCCAGATTCAGGACACGACACGTCACCTGTTAAGGTTGGAGGGGGGGGGGGTTTCCTCTCCCCCCCCCTCTCTGCCCCACGCCTTCAGCACATGTTCTTTCCCACACCTCTGATTATTGCATCAGCAATCACTGCAGGCCCATATTCGTGCACGAGGTAGGGCGTAAAGGGTAGAGACCCTGTTACCGGCGTTGTAAAGAAGAAATGGGAGAGGGCGAGCCCTAGCAAGAGGAAGACATCTGTCGTTCAAATGTTTGCATGTGGGGTAATGAGATGGATGAATGATCGGTTAAAAGGCACAGTGAGAGAAATAGGAAGAAACAACTGTTATCGCTATCAAAATGTCCTAACTTTAGTCCCAATTGGCCTTGGTTCGAGATTTGGGGAGGGGTGTTCGACGCATTCACTTTTGTTAAAGTGACAGTTTACCAATGGGTTAAAACAATTTTGCTGCTGCAAAATAAGGATTCTATTTCAAATGGATTGCAAATTGTATAGCTGTCGGATACACTTCCATTGCAGAATTTTTCAGTGGCCAGTACTGGAGCTACCCGTTTTAGATATTTAAATTGAAGATTTAAGAAGGATTTGAAGGAGAAAGTACTACCTTGACTTGCACCGAGTTCCGACCAACAATCTCTCTGAACAATTAATGGTGATTCAAAGTACAAAGCAACTAAGGGTAGCAACTTAAACACCGAAGGTGGGAGAGACATCACTTCCAAATTTTTCATCCACAGTTGTAAAAGAAAACACTTAGAGGCTTCAAACACACTTACACAAACCGGGCATATAAAATAAATCAAACCAAGTGGTTTTTGAGAGCTAGAAAAGAGTTTTCAGTACTTAATACATATCGAAAATTTCAATTTCACGTCCGACCTTTTCAGTTATAATATTCTAAAGAAAAGGTTGTTTGAAATAACTGTATTTCATACCTCCAGCACGCACTTTATTCAAATATTGGTTTCGATCATACCAATCTAACCAATCGCCGTCAAAATTGTGTGTTGAAAAAAGGCAATGCCACCGAGACAACTCTCCAGCCACCAATAGTAACGTAGAAACTTTTTCTTTTTTCTTCAATAAGTAGAGGCCATCTCCACAGTGTTCAACTTTTGTAAGTGACAATGTCTTTTCCTAATCTACCAGGGGCGATAAATTAAGATACACGATTAGGTATTTTGTCTTTTGCTTTCACACGCGCGTGTTTACCTTATCTAGATGTTTCCACACAAACACATTTACACACTTAAAGGGCTTATTTATAATTCATTCTATTTCTTTTTACTGGTTGGCTGCGCAGCAACAATCAGCACCAACAACGTTGTTGGTAAATGTGTGAACGAAAGGACCGATTGGAGTTAAAGTATTAATAGATTGGTTTGATCTCGAGCATTCAAAGGCTGGAATATGAATTTCTATGAACACCTTGATCGATTTCCATCATAAATAAATAACATTGCATAATGTGGAAATCTGCAATGACGTGAGAGCAAAAAAGGAAGTGGTAACAGCATTCGAATTGAATGAATGGGAGGTATTCGGAAGCTGAGGGTCTCAGTTCAGTTGGAGAAGAGCATTGAAGGCAGTTGGAGTACCAGTTTTACACGAACGGAGTTTGGTATTCTTCTGAAGTATCAAACTCACAATCCGGCTCTAAAGTATTTGCTGTCAGAGGAAAGTTGGCGTCGTAAGGTGAGTGTGTTTAAAGAGAGATCGCACTGCTTCCATCATCAGTTTAATGGAGCGTTACGCCACCAAAGTAAAATGGATTTAGATTAAATAGATCCAAACAAAAATAGAATGGACCGAAATCTCTCTCGGTTTCATTTCCTACTTTTGATACTACGTTTCGTGCTCGCCGCTATAAATACGTAAGATACGCAATTTTACCAATACTTTTTTTGCAGTAATTCAACAAAACAGGTTAAATCCTTTTACAATTATTTCTTTGCTTCCATTCTCCCATTCGAAGTTGGCGTTAATCCAAAATTTTCCCCTAATCTATGAAAATAAATGAACCCGGTTCTGCAAGCAGTAATCCTCGCGTTTGTATTTTCGTTTAAATGGACGCAACGTTTGCATCACCCACACAATAATTCTATGGGTATTTTCGACACTAGACAAATTAAGACAATGGGTTGAGGGTAGGTTCAAACATTAATGTCTCATAAATCAGATGCCCCTTTGCATTGTCTGATGTAAAGTCTGTGTGGACTTGAATGTGTGACATTACGTTGGTGCACATATATTTCAAGAACAAGAAAGAGATGGGAACTTTCCAATACACCATCCGAAATAGCCCTGAAAATTGCGTTAACGATGACATCTGTTGTTCTGTTACAACTGCCAAACTTCTGTGACCTCTAACCTAAGAAAAACTCAATATATCTATCAAGAGACTGGTAAAATCTATATTTAGAGAGAGAATAAAGTGTCCAAAAAATATGTTTGACTTAATGCCTTCTCCCATTCAGTTCTCATGAATAAAAGTGACCAATTTTATGGTGTACTGCTGTGTTTGATGGGGCAATAACAGTCCCCTGGTGGAACTCTGTGTGCATAAATTAAGTCGCAAGATAAAATAAACGACCAAACGAGACACTTCCTTACCTCACCTTACCTTATAAGTATTTATACTTGCATGAAGAAATATTTAGTATATAAGTTAACTATCACTTTTCGCTTGTAGAGGTGAAATCTAAATGAAACTCTGATTTAGAAGACAATTAGTGGAAACATTAAGCATTTGATTATTGGCATAATTTTCGAGCTCCCATTTTCTAACTTAACTCAATATCCAAATACAATTTACCCCAATTACGTCACGCCTTCATATCATTTTTGCACTGTAAGAAATTTTCCAAAAATACCGCCTTTGGTTTTAGAACACGGAGGATGAGCCACAGTTTTGGCAACATAAAAGAACCAACTTTCTACTCTACCAAATTGTGTCTAAATTAGCCAATATGAAAAAAGACATCCCCTTTAAATTACATTTGGGAGGAAATTTTACACCTTAAAAAGTTTACATTGTACAGAAAGATGAGCGAAACTAATGGTGAGAACATTTGGTTATCTAATTAATCACCTTTAGGCTACTTCGTTCAGTATTTAACACATTTTCGTCTCTTTATCAGATTATTTCAACCTATTTAATTTAAATATACGATAGTTGAAGTACAAGAAGAAGCAAGCCTTCGATAATGAGCACCAGACTTAAGGGAGAATTGAAGGGTAGAGAGACACCAATCGCAACCAGAATGTCAGAGGATCGTTCATTTTGAAGATTGATTCATATTTTCATTTTCTCCTTACCCATTACTATTAATTCTATAAGATTTCGAACTCTCCTCTGAAATCTTTAAATAGAAACCCTGGGCTAACATTATTTGATCACGTAAAGTGAACAAAAATTGTGATTTAGTTGCATTACCACCGCACCCAACACACCCTAACACCCTTTCACTGATTGAAACAAACGTCGTCAACCAGCTAGCCGATGCTGTAATATCGATTTTTATCTTAGTTGTAATAAAGTTGGCTACGTTCAAGTATTGATTTTATGAATCTCCAAATTTCCCACAGATTATAGTCCGCTTATTAATATCGATTTGATTTAGAATGTATTTTCTATTTTCAGTCTTTATTGAAATAAGTGTTTCGTCCACGATTAGAAAGTAATAAATTTGCAGAAAGCAAGTATTTACAAAATGCCTTTAATATAGAAGTAAGAGATCGGAATTAAATATAAATGCAGAGAGAACGTAGACCGGTTCCTTGAAGATAGTTTAATACTTGGCAGTTAATATTAACAGTCAATCAGATATGAATATTCGGGGTGTTATTGTGGCGTTAGAACTAATCTACCAATGAATCATGACCTTCGTCCACATGAGGGCAGGTAATCGCAAATACCACAGCTTGATATGGGGAGGGGGTGAGGAAATTGTTTAACATTTCATTCATACCCACTGACTTTTAGGGGATAACCATAGATATTCCCCTTTTCCCAAACCCACCGCAGTTACCGAAGGAGTCAAGACGAGGCATATGGACTTAAGCTATGGGGGTATCAGAAAAGGGGTTGGGGGAGTGATTGGAAAAAATAGGTTATACTAACCACCTGTCTGCAGGGATAGAACACACACGAAGAATAAATATTTTCCGGGGAAACCAAGATTTCTACAATCTAATTATGGCCACTTATGTAGTGAGGAGAAGTCCCAACTTCAGTGCATTCCTAGAGAACCTGGAAATCCTCTTCGTTTAAGCCCCTTAAGAACTAAACACCGAACAAATTATAAGCAAAAATATGACAAAAATACGGAGTTATCGAGAAACAGTAACGCCTAATATGAGTTTGAAGGATGTCCTCGTAATCGACTTACCTTGAACCCTCCAAGTCGTGGCAAAATCGTGGTTGAGAGCATTAATAATCAATTTTACTCACTTCCTAACCAACTAACCCTTCCCTCGCAAATTATAATCGTTTACTTTTTACTATAATAGTCTTTGCTGTCAGTTATCACCCTAACAAGATAAAGTGGTGAGAATGGAAAAGGTGTTGCAGCAAAATTCAAAACGTCAGAGTCTAGCATCACTTGATTTTGAATTCCTGTTGAGGTTTACATTCCGAAATTCAAAGTTCGGAAATTGTCTACAGGATTACTAAACAACTTTTCTTGATCTTAATCAGCTTACATAGCAGTACTCACAATGGTTCGCATAAGATGAGCTCTAAATCAAGTGATCACTGTTTTCGACAGCCATTTTTTTAAAGTGCCAATTTTAGTTATATGAAAGAATATCTACGTGTTCTTTTACCTTGCCTTTCCGAAAATTTTGGCACTTGAACTGAATAAAGTTGAGCGCGAATTGTATGGGTCATCTTTATGCCCACTAATCAACGCCAGAAAAACTGTGAACTGGTTATGGCTAAAGCGAAAGTATTGTTAGTGATAGGAACCTCTCAAACTACCTCATAAACCCAGTGAAGGCTAAAAATAGAGAGGATTGAACTAGTTTTCAGCCATGTATATGCAAAAAATCATTGTACTTCAATGATAGCTTCTTCAGTTTGTAAACCCCCTCACCATGGAAAAATTCCGAAATTAAGAAGAGGAAGTATGCGCTTTGCTTAGTCACCAGAACGACTATTAACCGCCCTTTTCTATAATGTTTACTCCAAATTCCCACGGTTTTGAAGTAATGCAGTTGGGAATTGTTTGTGTTAAATAGTTGAGGGTTTACTTGTACACACTGAATCGCTTTCTATTAGTTAAAAAATACGATAAATACTATGAAATAAAGTTAATCAAAGTTCTCTATCATATCGTTAATAGAAGTACATTAAAGGATTATATAAAATGAGAATATGTAGTGACTAATAATTGTCATGACCAATTAATCAAAATGGCTCCAATACTGTCAATATAAATATGCTTGTAAATTTAAAAGCTAATTCAAGTAACTTTCTAATCAGAAAATTAGGGGTGTGGGATAGACTTACCTCCACGCGATGAACATTGTGCAACGTTTACTCATACGCCAAAAAAAGTCTATAAACCGGCAGTTGATTTCTGACTTCAAGCTATCATGGCCCGATTGCATGTAACATTTGACCACTACCATAGTACTCATCTTACCCTATTCTCTACCTTTGTGTCTGTCTCTTTTACACCTGTAAATCACTCTTCTGTTCCCACCCCCTTCCCCTCTCCACTTTTGCGCGTTTGATGCTCCTACCCTATGAGAAGCCCGAAGTCAACTAAAGGGCTAATGATAAC